CTCGGCTGGGTGTTCACCAACAAAAAATAATGAAATAACACACACATGCAGAGTTAAATCCAATTTCACAAATCTGTAAATGTCGTCATGTAGAATGAAAAAGTACAATACATCTCTGTCAACTATGCCCCTTTTTTTTTTTCTAAAATCAGAAGCTGCTGCTTGTATGTTACTGCACACATTGCACTGAGACAAAGAGCAGTTCCGGACATATGGCCACTGAGCATTAAAGACAACAAATAGCATAATTCAGCCCACAAATGAAGGCTGAGCTCCTTTTGTGTCCCGCAGAATCCGGAGCTGTGGGCACACAGCACCGAAGCAAAGTGCTGATCTCCTCCGGGCTGTGTTGGTGGCTTAGCAGAAAGTCAGAGTGAAAGCAAACAATGACTGCGAATGCCACCAAGCTCCTCAGCGAGACAGGGCTGCACCAAAGCTTTTCCTTTACGCCCCTGGCAGTGGCAGCTGGCTCTGCCTGCCTGGGCACCACAATGGCATCGGCCACATCCTGCAGCGGTGGCACAAGGAATGGAACAGGGATGCTCTGAGCTAATGGCACAGCCGAGAAATCAGAAACCATCATAAAAGCGGTGGTTGAGTTTATAGAGCTGGAGCTCCGAAACAGAACTACGGATTATGACAGGTTAATGGGGATTGTGACATTCCCTATACATGTAAATAAACAGTGAATTTGAGAACCTCTGTTTTCCCAAAGCAGCAGTAAATAAAACTCTAACAGAGACCTCATGTAAAGAAACCATATGCTTATAATTATACAAACATTGTAGATCCCCTGTGTGAAATTTCACATCCTTATTGCTTCTATTTTAATGTTTACAAAGTTAGCAGTAATTTCTCGAAAACAAATCTGATCCTAAACAGGAAAGACAATTTCCTATAGAATTTTCATTTTCTGCCCCAGATCGAGCACAGTGAGGACCGCTCTGATGCTACAAACACCCTCACTTTCTCATGCTGCAGTTTGATTCCCGACTCCGGGATCTGTTTGGATGCTCCAAGAAGGCAGGAGCTGCTCCCCTCCTCATGTCCATATATTACACTGTTAATTGGAAGCGAGAGACAATGTGGTTCCAATCTAGTGTAGAAACGCAGAGAGTTTGCAGAGAAACGCCGCTGCCACTGCTTCGTGGCAAAATAAAGAGCCGTAAAAAGCAGCAGCGTCACGATGGGTTACCCTGTTCCTTCCTCAGCTTTTCTTGTGAAATACCAGCACAGAGGCAGAAGTGAAAGGAGCAGCCCTATGGCAATCCTGCACCATGAGGTCCCCAGCAAGCTCCCACCACACCGCGATCCCCCGCGCAGTGCAAATATCCCTGCCGGTGCAGGGCATTGTGCAGCAGCACTGCCACGAAGAAGCAGAGGTGTTCAGTATTTTTTAGCTGAAAGCAATGGGGGTCCAACGCCTCAGCTCTGGGTCTCTGGAAAAGGAGTCCCATTTGCATGTTGGGGCTGGCCGGGACCAGTGCATTCCTAGAAGGCAACACATGGGAACGTTGCGCACAGTCTGTGCCCATAGGAATCCGTGCATCCTCACTGTGTGATTCCAGCACAGCTCTTTGTGGTAGAGGGGCAAGGAGCACATACTTTGCCTGGGTAGATTCACTGGTCATCCTGGTAGAGGAAGATTTTATTGCACAGAAATGAAAATAAGTGGTGGACCATTCATGGATTGTTCATGTTAAAATAAACCACAGTCTCTCAGTCAAAAAAATAATTAAAAAAAAAAAAAGATTCAGAGGGAGTAAGGCTGGATCCAAATGGATCGGCTCTACACAAATGCCATTCACACATCTCTATGCAAATGCCATTCGCACATCTCAGCAAATCTCACAAAAGCCCACAAAGCAGAGATGCAATGAGTGCTGCTTAGGGCACCACATCTGTAGGGCTGGATTTCAGCCTCTAGCACAGGTCCTGAGCATTGCTGCTCACTTTGTGACTATAACAAGAGAAATCTCGATTGACTTTCCAAGGGCAAAAGAAATTTACCTTTGCTTGTAACCGTCTCCTAGTTTTCAAATGTTGCTTCTGGTATTTCGTTATTTTTTTTTTTTTCCAGGATGAGCAAACTGACAGAAAGCAAAAAACTTGGAATGTGTGAAAGTGGTGTGTTACAGTGCAAAGGAACTGGGGAAGCTCTTCATAAAACTACAGCTTAGAGGGCTTCGCCCAATCGCTTCTGTTTAAAAGTGTATCTAATAGAGAATGGTTACACAATATCTATAATGCAATTATAAACTGAAAAGTGGCCAACTTTTATTGTTGAGAAAACCGGAAAGGAAATCAGTTTAAAAAATGCCATTATTCTTCTCCGGCTTCTCATTGTGCCGCTGCTGCCACTGTGCAGTGCACTGAGCCCCAGGGCCACTGCGTGCCACTGGCACTGCTTCCCAGAACTCATGCCCCCATCTACCCCACACCATCCCACATCCAGACGTCGGGCAGCGGCCACATTGCCGGTCCTCAGCAGTGCCGAGGGCCCCGCTCCCACTGCGTGCTCTCAGTCCACCACGCACTTAGCTCACTGTCAGGACAATTAACTGCATGCTCCTGAACAATGGCATTGTCTTCTGTGATGTCAGTAGGACACCCTGAGCAGCGGGGCCTGACGCTGCCATAAAGCAAAGAGCAGCACAAGCGGTTGTAGCACAGGTAGGACTGAAGTCAGAGCGATGGAGACGGCTCTCGGGACCACTCGACCCTTGCAGCTTTGCGTTAGTATGAAACCACCTTCCCCTGGGAGGAGAGGAGACCGGTGGGGGAAAATGCAGAGAACAAAGGGGGAATGGAGAGACAGACCGAGAGACAAAGGGAGGAAGGGCCGGACACCCAGGGAGCTGTAGGGGACCCTGAGACTCAGCGGGGTGGGAGCTGTGCGGCACACGGGGACCACAAGGAGGGGATGTGGGAATGGAACAATATCAGAAAAGGAAAAATAGGACAATGAAATGCAGCGTTACAGAAAAGAAAGAGCCTGGGGGGCTCGGGTTGGGCAGAAGTTGGTTGGCAGAGAAGAAACTGGAGCTGGGCAGCTGATGGGAGATAGCAGCCAGGAGCGTGGAAAGAGCGGAGAGGGCACCAAGGGGGCAGAAGGAAACAAAAAGAGGAGCGATAAGGCTCCGGAAGGAACTGGGTCATGGCCAGAAAAAACAGCCAAAATGCAAAGTGAGGGGCGGAAAGGATGGGAACAGCAGAGAGGAGCAGAGGAAACAAAAGTGAGGCAGCAGAGAAGTGGAGCTGATGGGAGGGGAGGTGTGGGGGTCCCAGAGCAAGGAACAGTGGATGAAAAGAAGGGGAATAGTTAGAGGGAGGATGGGAAGACAGGGAAAAGGCACGAGAAGCGAAAGCACAATAAATAAAAGGGGGTGAAAAAACAGGATGAAGCAGTGCAGGAACTGATTCTACAGAAACGTTGCCTCATTTGTGCACTGTCACTGATACTCTTTTGTAGCCCAATTTCTTCATAACTCATCTCCCAGCATCTCTCAGTACCTATCCTACCATAAAGCAGACAAGCCAAGGACTGGCCCTCTCTAGCTCAGGTGAGCCCCTGCCCCTGGCATCAGTTTGATCCTTGGTGGAGCTGTCTCAAGAACTTGAAAACTGAGCCTCTCATTGGCTTTGGAGGTCCCCTTGCTGTCCCCATCTCCATTGGCACCCTTCCCAGGATCTGTCCATTGGTGGCACTGAGGTCTCCATGGCAAACCAGGGCCTACAAGGACAGGTGCCTGCACCCTGTTCCTCACCTCACCCTATGTGCACGTCCTGCTCTGGGAGCAGTGCCAGAGCCCAGGCACGAGCTGCCCTCCCTGGGTGGAACATGAGAAGCAGTGAGAAAAAGAAAAGAATGTCTGAGGTACGATGGCATGGCCCACAAGGAACTGCTGCTGATGAAGGAGCACTGTCAGGGATGTCAAGTTCCTTTTATTTATTATGACACATTCCCTTTATTTGCTATAGACAGAGCATTTGTTGCATGTCCCTGCACGTGTCCCTGGAGCTGCAGCATCTCCCACTGAAAGGAGAGGAAAATCCATCAGTGACAGAACTGATGGGGGGGGGGACAGATAGCAGAGGTGGGAAGAAGTGAGGAATGGAAGACAGCAGGAGAAGTTGGGGAGAGCAGAAAGCTCAGCATGGGACAGAGGGCAACAATGTGGTGGAGCGCAGGAGGAAGGACGGGGCTGCAGGAAGCAAGAGTGCAGTGGTTTGGAAAGGATGACAAGAAGAAGGTCGAGAAGCAGTAAGGAGTGAGCAGGATGGGTGGGAAAATGCCAATTTGTTCACTTTGTCTATAGCTCTGAGCTCTGCAGCTGGATGCAACCATTTGGAAGTTAAGTCTTTTGCTGTGGGATGCATCTCTCTGAAAAGCCCAATGCAAAGGGATGGGTGAGTCCTTCTGATGGCACAGGGGCCTCCACCCTGCTTGCTCTGTTGATCTCCCCAGGTGCTGCCAATCTGTCAACGCCTTTCCCAGCCCACAGGCCAGAACCATGCTCTTCTCAGGGTGGTTGCCTTTGGGGGCAATTCTAAGGCAAAGACAACAGCGTGCAGCTCTTCACCCATGCACTTTCCCTCTGCTCCCAGAGCTCGGGCCCTGCCTTGGAGCTGCCTACTTGCAGGGCACATCTCCTCGAGAGACCCCACTTGTGACAAATTCTGCTTCTGAGAACATAGCCACGGCAACAGGACCAAGCCCACGCCTGCTGTCTGAGCACACCCACACCCGAAACCCCAGCCCCCGACTCGCTGTTCCCATCCATGCGGAGCGAAGGGCACAGCCGCTCTCCTCGGCCCGGCCGAGCCCCCGCCGCCCCCGGCCGTCTCGGGCACCCAGCCCGCCCCGCGGGGCGGTCCGCGGCGGGGCGGTCCGGGCGGCGGCGGGGCGGGGCGGGCTGCTCCGGGCCGGGCCCGCCCGGGTGCAGTCCCCGTTCCGCGCCGCTCCGCCGCGCAGTCCCCGCCGCACGTCGGGCCGCCGCCGGAGCCTCACGTCGGGCCGCCGCCGCCCCGCCGCGATCGCTATGAATGCGCGCCGGGCCCTGCTCTCCGCCGCCTTGCTCGCCGGCCTCCTCTGGGATTTACCTTGCTGCCGCCCGGCCTCCCTCCCCGCCGCCGCAGAGCTGGCCAAGGGCGGGCGGGGCCGCAGGGCTCCGCGATCCCCCCGGGAGAGCCGGCCGCGGCAGGGGGCACAGCCCGGGGGCCGGACGCCTCCGCGGGCGGAGCCCCACGAGTACATGCTGTCCCTCTTCAGGACCTACTCCGTCGCCGAGAAACTGGGCATCAACGCCAGCTTCTTCCAGTCCTCCAAGTCGGCCAACACCATCACGAGTTTCGTAGACAGAGGACAAGGTAGGTGCTGTGCCCCCGCCCGCCCCGTCGCACCCCGGGGCTGGAGTCCCGTCCGCAGCGCTGTCGATCCGCGGAGCCGGCGCCGCTCCACTCACAACGTTTCCTTTTTCCTTTTCTTTTCTTTTTCCTTTTCTTTTTTTTCTATTCTTTTTCTTTCTTATCTCCCTTCGGGGCGCAGAAAGGCGGATCTGTCAGTAAACGGCGCATCGCGTTGTGTTGTTTCATAGCAAAGCCGCTCTGCGGTGGCCGTAGATGGTGGTGCGGAAAACACGCGTGGCCGTCCCGAGCCCTCACCAGGCGGGGAAATGCAACCCCCGCTCTGCGGGAGCAGCTCGGGTGGAAGTGCAGCGTCGGAAACATCGTTCTTCTGCTTTATTTCCGCCTGAGAGAAAGGATCTCTCTTATCGCTTCGGCTGGAAGGCAAATAGAAAGCTCGAACTCGCTGCGCGTAGGGCTGCGCCGTCGGGGTCACCTGGAAAGGTCCGGCCCGATGGGTACACGGGGCAGGCACACAGCCGCTCCGGAGCCCCGGGGCTCGGGTATTGCCGCGCCCCGACGTGCCCTGACGGAGCGTGGCTCGGGGCCGCACCCGCGCCCTTTGCACTTTCCGGATGCGGGGGCCGCCTCCATCCATTCCGGGGCCAGGAGGGACGCAGGTAGGACGGGGCGGGCGGCGGGGCCGGGCCGGTATCCCAGCTTCCCGCAGGCAGCAGTGTTGCCGCAGGATTCCCGGGACCTCTCTGCCACCTCCGGGTTTCCCGCTTTGCTTTTCTCTCGTTGCTTTATAGCTCGAGGGCGGAGATGGCGTGCGGATCTGGAGGAAAAGAGAAACTCCCTTCCCTCAAAACGCCTCTCCTTATTTATTAAGGTTTTATAATTATTATTATTACATTATCCTGGTTAATGACGAACTAACTCGGTGGCTCCTAAGGAAGGGCACGCTTTCCCTCCTCCTCCCCCCGTCCCACCGTCACACCCAGTGCTCGGGGCGCCGTCGGGGGCTGCAGTGCCGCGGTGCTTCCGATGGACGGAGGAGGACGAGAAGTTTTGCTTTCCGCCTTCCCCCGACGGGGGCGTTTTTTTTGCGTCGTTGTGGGAAAGGTGCGCGCGGGGGGAGGCTCGCCAGGCGTGAGGTTCTCGAAGTTCAGCCCTAAAAACGACCTCAGCCGCTTTTCCCGAAGGAAATCGGGGGGCTGATGGGGATTCAGCCACGCTCGGGATCGTCCTCACCAGAAGAAAGACAATGTAACAACCGCAGCTCGTTGCGCTGCATGGGAGAATCTGCTCCGGTAGAGGCGATTCGCTACCAGAAGTCCTGCTCTGATGAAGGAAAAGCCTCACTTTTCCTCATTGATTTTGATTTGATGTGTCACGGGCTGTGACCTTCTGCTGGACCTTCCGAGGGTTGCTTAGCATCAAGCCACTGATTGGAGTATTTCAACTCAGTGATCTAATTGAGTGTTCATGTCATAACATAGCGAATATTGTCTGGTCTCCCATAATGAAGCGGACCAGCCAATGGCACATCACCAAAAACTTCAAGAGAGCTTCCGTTCCTCTGAAGTGGGAGCCGCGTTCCTGCCCACCTCCCCGTGCGCTCCCAGCCCGCTTAATTGGAGCGCTGCTGCTGATGAACGGCCTTTGCTCGGGGGAAGCGGGGGGAAGGTTCTCTCCATTCATTTGCAGACGGCAGAGCCGCCCAAATTGACCCAATTAGTCGGACGGGCTGCGCTTCACCGACGGAGCGGCCGCGCAGCGCTGCGCGGGGACGGAGCCGCTGGGGCTGCACGGGAGTGGGGCACCGCGGGACACCGCAGTGTCGGCCCCGCTGCTGGGGGGCACCGAGGGAGCCCTCCGCACCTCTTCTTTCTTTCCTTCCTCCCGAAGCTCACAGGATCGCTTTCAGGCTGTGTCGGGAGGAAGGAAAGCCGCGCCGCTGCATTACATATGTATGTCTATATGGAGATTTTCAGTGTAAAGAGCACAGAAAGAGGGGAAAAGCTCTGCGATTGCCCCCCTTCCCCGTTCCCTCTCGCACCCCCCGCCCCCCCACCCCCCTTTGTTACGGTCGCAAGATCAGACAGGACCTCTCTGAATGTAGGAAAATTGCTGTTGGCACATGAAGTAACTCATTAAAACGCAGATGGTGCTCTCGCTGGCCCCGGGACCCCCAGCACTGCCACTCCGCTCTACAATTAGGGGCTGCGGGGCTGCACCGGGCAGGGCAGAAATAAAGGGAAGCGGTGGCTGCGAACAGCGAACCCCTAAGACGCGGGGTGAACCGAGAACAGAACCCGGGCGAAGGAGCGCGGTTCTGGGGGTGCCCCGAGGGGAGCGGGTGCCATAGGGCGGGCTGCGGGGCTTCGTGCCTTCGTGCCCTTCTGTGTCCTAAAGGCTCCCGCAGCCGGGAAAACGGAAAACGGGAATAGGTCGAAATCTCGTTCTCCCCAGTTCCTTTGTACGCCTTCGTGTGCAGCCGATGGGGACGGGAGGGAGGAGGGGGGTGGTCCGATACGCGGTGTTTTACCGCTGTTGTCGGGGGGCGGGAGGAAGCGGAGAGCCCCGCGCAGGAGCTGCGATCGGCGGCAGAAAGGAGAGAGCAAATCCCGCTCGCAGTTCCCCGTGCCGAGCGTTTATGCAAAACAGCGGCTTTCTGGGTGGACCGAGAGCTGCAGCGCACCGCAATCTGCGCAGAGCCTTTGCCCAGGCGGTGTTGTCGTTGGCAAGAGGAAAATGAAATATAAGCGGGGAAGCATTTTAATGGGGAAGGAGGGAATTCACAACTGTTAATTATTTGGTGACCTTGTATTCGATTTGTTTGAGCCCCTTATAAAAACACTAATGCAGACCAGACGGCCGGAGAGCGCTGCGGCAGCCGCTTCCAAACACAGCAGAGCGCCCGGGGAAGGAGAGAGCGGCTTGGCTCGGCTCGGCCCGGCCCGGTCCTGCTCGGCTCGGCTCGGCCGTGCTGCTACCGCTCTACCGAATCGGAGCAAAGGGAGCAGGGACTGCTCGGGGCTGGGGAGGCGGCAGACCGTCTCCAAAGCCGCTGCGAGAGCAAACTTTGTGAAAAACACTGATTTCGGAAGAGGTTTCTTTCTCATTTTTTTTCCCGTTTCCCCCCCTTCCCCCCCGCCTCTCCCCCCCCCTACCTCCTCCCCCTTTTTTTTTTTTTTTTTTTCCCTCCGTTTGTTCCCTTCTGCGAATCCTCCGCGGGGATCCTCGCCCCGAAGGGACTGGGAGGGAGGGGAGGGGTTCCAAAGCCGCCCCGTGTCCCCTTTCGATCCGTGCCTACCACCGATCGTTTGCTCGGTTCATAATTTCTCTCTCCTTTTTTTTTTTTTTTTTTAAATCATTATTATTTTAAATCCAGGATTCCCCCCGGTGAGGCTGACAGGAGGCTGTGGTTTTATTTTTAGTTTTAGTTAATGTTTTTTTCTTTAGAGAGAGAAAAGAGAGCTTTTCGCTCCAGGACTTCTCAGTTCCACCAGCTGCACGGAGCCCGAGGAGCTCAAACCCGGCTGCGGGCTCGGGCACGGAGCGCCTCGCTGCTCTCATTTGCCTCCTCCCTCTTTAGCCCTACTGAAAAAAAAAAAAAAAAAAAAAAAAAAAAAAAAAAAAAAAAAAAAAAAAAAAAAAAAAAAAAAGAAAAAAAAGAAGGAGCCGTTGCCGGCGAAATGCTCGTTTCCCTGCGATCCCAGCGCTGCAAGTGAAGAGAGCCCCTGCGTGCTTCTGGGCGAAAGGGGCCGTCCCAGCCCTCGTTGGTTGAGGGCAGCTCTGTGTGTTTTGTTTTGCCGGAGCTTTCCCGTACACCGCTCAGAAATCTCCTTCAAATCGTCCCCGTGCTCCTTCTCTTAGCTCCGAGCTCAGGGATTCCGAATTTCGAATATCTAGATATCTATATCTATACAATTAGTTATTATTATTTTTATTTGGGGGGGGGGGGGGGGCACAGTGATTTCTCGTCGATTTCTCATAGCAAAACAGCGGACGGGAAGGGCACAGCTCTCACGGCCCCCCACGGCACTCAGCAGCCTCCGTGCAGCCGCTCTCCGCCCCGGCGCATCCCCGGAGTCCGGCGGGAGGGCAGCGGGGCCGGGGGGCCGCGGCACAACGGAGGCGGCCGTTCCGGAGAGGGGCCGGGAAAGCAGGGGAACAGAGGTACGTTGCTGGCGGAAGGAGAATAGAAGCAGCCCTCTGTTCGTTTCTCGGGGCTTTGGCAACGTTAGATCCGAGGAAGATGCGGTCTCTCCCGGTTACTCGATAGCGAAGGGAACGAAATATTGAAATCTCGTCGGGCGCCGTAAGAGAAAACGGCGGCGATGCCGCCCGTTCGGAGGGGGGGGCCGAGAGCCGGGAAAGTCCCCCCTGGGGAGCACAGCGACCGGCCCGCAGGGATTGGCAGCGCCCGAGGAATGCCCGCAGCCCCAGCGGGACGGATGCGCCCGTTTTCACCTTATCGTCTGCGAAGGGTTCTTAAACTTCCAACGTGCTTTTGGTTTGCGAATTCAAATACGGCTTGAAAGAGAATTAGGAATGGGAAAATTCTTCTCGAATGCGGTTTGGGTATAATTTGCAGTGATGTAAAGTTAAGATCGCAGCCCCGATGGGTTGGCCCAGAGCCCGGTACCTGATCTGCCATGAAAAGGGAAACTCCGCGTAGCCCTCGTTAACCCCCGGCGCGCCTCGGAGCCGCGGTGCCTGCGGGGAGGGGCTGTGTGGCCGGGGGTGCTCCGAGCTGGGGGATACCGGCAGCTGCCCGGCCCCTTCGTTGGAGTAACGACAAAAAGGAAACGCCGTGCGAGGGTCGGGCAGCCCCAGGCGGGCGGCTCTTTTCAAACCGCGTCTCTCAGCCCCCTCGCTCAGAAGGGAGCGCAGAGGAAAGGTCCCGAGCAGCGCGCGGTGCTCGCACAAAGGCGGAGGGGCGGCCGCGGTGTTTCCGCACCGCTCCGTGCGGTGGGAACGCGGCGCTGGGACGCAGCTCACCCCCACCCCGGGGCCGCCCCCCCCCCCGCCCCACATCGAGGGCGGCGGTGATGCCGCACTGTGTCCCCTCCCTCCGCTCTTTTCCCACCCTCTCGGCCCCGCTGGGAGCGGGCCAGGAGTATGTATTCATCTGGAATTATTCGCTTACGAGAGGGAATAAATCGTGTTTATCTGATGGGATTCGAGGCTGCTGCTTTGATACAGCCGCGATCGCTGCCCCTTCCCGAGAAAGGAGCCGGGAACTGATGGATCGGGGCGAGTTCTGCACCTCTCCTATCACCGTGTCCCCGTCTCGACACGGCACACTGAAGCCTTTGCAACGTGGGACACGGGGCGGCGAGCAGCCCCCCGCCTCCACCGCATCCCAAAGGGCTGTACCGAGCGGGGCGAGCATCGCCCTTTGGAGCCATCCCCGGTAGGGATGGGGCTGTGCCCACGTTAGGGGCTGATGCGGTTCCCTCGAGGCTCGCTGGGGAAATGCAGGCGGGTTTCTGCCCCAACAACTCTCTGCCCCCTCGCCCCGTGTCCTCGCTGGGGGCTCTGGGAACGCTCAGCGTTAATCCGCGCTGAGTCACTGCGCGCTGCGCCGCGTAAGGTTCTACAGCGCCGTGTCACGTCTGAAGGTCTCGGTGTGCATCAGTCGTGCCGCTGTTCCTCCCACCTTCCCCCCCAGGAGGCTCCCCCGGAGCTGTCAGGTGGAGCTGAGGCTGTGAAATACGCTGATGAGGAGGAGCGCTGACCTCTGCTGTCAATAAATACCGTGGGCTGTGTATTTCTTCGGTCTCCTTCTGTCTCAGGAGCATACACGAGCACGGACAACCGGAGAGGGGCGGCCCAACAGAGGCTACAGTGACACTTTTACTGTTGAAATATACAGGGGCTTTACTGGCTTCTGGGGAGAGCGAGGGCTTGGGGAATTTCTGTGTTTGCTGGGCTGTAAACATTTTATTGGAAAGCAACTCAGGAGAATGTCGTTGGCTTTGTGAGCTGTGTTTTGTATGCCCATGTGTCAAAAAAGAAGTCTAGGTCATTCTCTTGGAGCTGAACATATATGTATATATATGTGTATGTGTATATATATGCGTATTTGTGTTTGCATACAAACACAAAGCCATTGCTGGTCATGCACTGCAGTGCTTGCAGGGCCGGTGGGCCAAGGAAGTGCATGGAGCTGGGTTGCCATGTCCTTCCTCTGGTGTGGAGCATCCCGTATGATGTGGGTCTTTTCAGTTTCTCTCCCTCTCCCTCTC